AAAAAAAAAAAAAAAAAAAAAAACAATAATCAAATTTTCCTGTCAATTGTGTCTTTAACCATGGCTATTTATTTATTGTCAGAGTCTCACTCTCACTCAGGCTGGGGTACAGTGGCACACTCAAAGCTGCCATAGCCACTAACTGCTGGGCTCAGGGGATCTTTCTGCCTCAGTCTTCCAAGTAGATGGAACTACAGGCGCATGCCACCATGTCCGGTTAATTTTTTGATTTATTGTAGAGATAAGGTCTTGCCAAGTTGCTCAGGTTAGTCTCGAACCCTTGAGCTCAGGCAATTCACTCAGCTCTACTTCCCAAAGTGCTGGGATTACAGGCATGAGCCACCACGCCCTGTGTAACTATGGCCATTTCAAGTTCTACTATCGTTAATTGCTATATTCTGATGGTTTTTTCCTGAAAACTCTTTGCAAATCCTAAATTGTGTTTTCAAGAAGGTTCATGAGCCGGGCTTGGTGGCAGGTCGAGGCTGCACTCCAGTCTGGGCGACAGAGTGAGACTCCAACTCAAAAAAAAAAGAAGGTTCATGGAAAGGATTGGAAAGGTCTCTCTGACAAACTTGAAATCTTATTATTGGACTGGGTAAAAGTTTCTACAACTCTAAATAAAAAAATAAAAACTGGACTCATAAAACTGCCAACCTCTAGACTAATGTTTTCCATTTTTCACTCACCCTTCTAATTTGGAAACACTAAAAATTAAAACCGTCATTTTCCTAAGGCCAAAAAGCTAAAGCTGTTCATTTTGGCTTTGGAAAGGAAAATTCACTACCAAAGCTTATGTTCGAACAAACTTTACACACAATTTACACTAAGAAAATCTGTTAGATTGCCACAAATTTTCCTAACTGAATGCCTTCCAGACTCTAAAGAAACTAGTTTATAGCCTACTCCAGACATTAACCTTAGTTTTTCTTCTTTCCATAAAAATGTCTCTTATTAAAGACATGTTTGCCTACATCATATACAGAAACCCAGCTTTGAGAGCTCATCTCCTGAAATGAAACACAACTGTTTGACTATGCCTTTGCCTAAAAATAATAGATTGGTTTAGTGGAATCCTTTACTACTCGATTACTAACCTCATTTCTCTCTCCACAGTCACCAACTCAGCTTATAGTGTATGAGACTTCTAGGGAAATTGCAGACAGAGAAATTGAAGGGGATCAGGGAATTATACCCCAAAACATGGCACCCTTATTTGCTAAGTATTTTAAATTAAAGACCCTTGGAGACCAGCAGACACTGAAAAAGCTCTACTCTGATCCTACTTTATCTACCTAAGGTCCAGACCTGCCAAAGAAGAAAACAATTATGGTCCCTTCCCTAAATTTTCATTAACTTAATTCATATTGCAGGAACAAAGACAAGCCTGTCGACATACCAGGCCAAACTTTTGTCACAAACCATTGTCTGCCCTGTGAGCCCCAAAGACTTTGCCCCAGGCCACTATATGTTCTCCAAGCACATTGTGATCCCCTTAAAAATCATTCTCTCTCTCAAACTATCCACATTTCCCTATGAAGGGTATATAAACATCTCTACCCCAATGAGTTATTTGGTAATCATTCTCCTGCAATTGCCTCCTGCTATGCACTTGTTAAAATACAATATGTAGCCGGGCTCAGTGGCTCAGCCTGTAATCCCGCGCATTTGGGAGGCTGAGGTGAGTGGATTGCCTGAGTCCGCGGGTTCGAGACCCGCCCGGGCAACTTGGAGAGACCTCATCTCTACAGTAAATCAAAAAAAATTACCCGGGCGTGGTAGCGCGTCCTGTAGTTCCAGCTACTTGGAAGGCTGAGGCGGAAGGATCGCCGGAGTGCAGCAGGTCGAGGCTGCGGTGGCCACTGCACTCCAGTCTGGCGACAGAGTGAGACTCCAACTCAAAAAAAAAAAAAAATTTGGTATGTCTTTCTCCAATTAATCTGTCAGTTGACTTTTCAGTGAACTCTCAGAAGGCAAAGGGGAAGTTTTCCCTTGGCTTCTACATGCTATACAGCAGAGAACACAGAGCTTCAACTTAATTTTTTGAGCATTCTCTCCAATCCTTCCGACAAAGCACAGCAATAAACTCGGGACAGGCTTTGTATTTTTCACAACTGTATTTTTTACAATTCCTTTCAATAGCCCTCAAACTTTTATTCATTTTTGCATCCTCAGGATCCAGCATAGTGCCTAGCATAGAACGTCCACTCTGGGACTGTTTACTGTCTTTAGAAATGGCTGATCGAGTGTGTAGATATCATGGCCAGGAGAGTGGTTTCAAGTTCACTCACTAGTTGTGTGATCTTGGGCAAGTCACCTAACCACGTGGAGATCAATTTGTTCATCAATAAAACCGGAATACTCCTACTTGCCTCGTCTATCTCACTGGCTCCTCAAGAGGCTTTACACGACGAGCAGCACTGTAAAGTACCGTACATGAGTGAAGAGTTTTGGTAGGACTGTTGACTGTATGAACGGTGAGATGGAAAGAAGCCTGGGTTGTGCAGTGGATACGGCTGCCCGGCTCCTTACTTTTCCATTGTAAACACAAAGCTTTAGACTCAATGATGGTCCAGACCTACACTCTGACCCGCTACAGGCTCAGAACCTCAGGTGTCCTCAGAAAGCTAAAGCTGGGGCTGCCAGATGCACCGGCAGGGACAGGGACAGTCAAGGTCGCGGGACACTAAGCGGGGGGGGCTCACCCAATCAAAGTCACACGGGTTGCCGTCTTCGCGTTGGGTGGGGAGACCGTGACAGAGCGGCGGCAGTTTCCTCACGAGTAGGAAAGCAGCAGAGAGCAGGGCAGACAGAAGGTAGTAAGGTCGTGCCAGCCATCGTGAAAGTCGCGGGACCGAATATATCAGAGCAATTATAGGTGCCAGGACCGCCATCTTTCCAGCCCTTACGGCGCCCGCCACTCACCTGCGTCGATAGGCCTGGTCCCGCCTTCCCCACCAGAGAGACTTCTATTGGGCCAAATCTCGGATGCACCGCCTCCGGACCCGGAAGTATTCTCTGGTTGAATGCTGTAGTAGGTCAGAAAAGAAAAAGGGACTTGACACTTTATTGGTCAGTCTTGCTGTCGCTTTTTCGACCAAAGTCATTGTATTGGATATGAAACTGTGGCTAGCGGCGATACTTCCTGAACGTTCTCAAAAGGCGACGGAAGTAGTTACCGGAACAAGGTAGGCGGGGTCCAAGACATCCAATGATAAACAGCTCCCAGAAAAAGAGGGCGGCACCCCTGGAAAGGATTGTCCAATGAAAACCATCAACGCCAGACACCAAGGCAGCGCCGGGGCAGAGGGGACGATGGAGAATTTCACCGCGCTGTTCGGGGCTCAGGCCGACCCACCACCGCCCCCAACCTCACTTGGCTTCGGACCAGGAAAGCCTCCACCCCCACCTCCGCCTCCTCCAGGCGGGGGACCCGGCACAGCTCCGCCCCCCACCGCGGCCACAGCCCCTCCCGGCGCGGACAAGTCAGTAGCTGGTTGTGGTCCCTTCTACTTAATGAGAGAACTGCCAGGTGAGTACCGGCCTGGCCGCAGCCAGCCAATCAGGTCATAGAGTGGAGGTGATGGGCGTGGCTGTCAGCCCGCTGGCTGAGGTGCAAGGTAATCTAGGCAATGCGGACGGCGGCGCCTGAAGTCGGATGGGGTGTTAGGATTCAAGGCCAAAGGAGTGACTTGAATTCGCGGGGTGAGTTGGGAGTGGGTGGGTGTGCATCTCCTCCTTGACTATCTTTCGCGCCATATCCGGGCTCTGTCCCTGACACTGGTTTCTAGTTTGAGTTTGGAACTTGAGAGACCTGATTTACCATCCCTGGACACAGGAAATGAGGTCAGAAGACGTGATGTGAGAAAAAGCTTGGAATGCCTGAGGAACAGAAGACCCGTTTGACTCCGGTGAAGTAAACAAAGGGAAGAGTGGTAGGAGATCAAGGCGGGAGAGTTAGAAGCCTTTAAAAAGCAATCAAGGCATTTAGATCGAAGTTAGAAAGGAAGACATGCTAACAACACAGGAGTGACATGACCAAATTTATTCGTTTTTAATCATTCAAGTATTCACATGAAGAATAGGAAGTGGGGAAATCAGTCAGAAGTTACTGCTCAGTGGTCCAAGAAAGAGATGATGGTTTGAACCAGGGCATAGCAATGGAGATGTACATGGATGCAGAATGTTAAAGGTAGAGCAGACAGGATGAAAATTGAATATAGGCATGAAAGAGAGAATGGAATTGAGGATGACTTACAAGTTTTTGGCTTGAATAAGTGGGTGGATGGTAGTGCTGAGACTTGGAAAATAAACAAGTTTGAGGAGGCAGAAGTCCAGTTCATCCCAAGTGTTATTGCCACATCATGACTTGAGGGAAATAATAATAAATATTGGTATAATACTTTTTGTTCAAAACACTTATATGTCATAGTATTTAACATTTAGGATAGCCCTTTGAGGTAGGCATTGTTATCTGCCTTTTACAGTTGAAAACATTGAAGCATAGAGAAGTTGGCTTTCCTTTGTTACTTGGTGGCTGATGTCTACCAGCAGTTTCTTTCTTCTTTACTTTACCTTACCTACTCTGTTTGTACCTGTTTGTATCAGTTAGTTGACAGATATTGAATATCTGTTCTGAGCCGGGCTTGGTGGCTCAGCCTGTAATCCCGCTCTTTGGGAGGCCGAGGTGAGTGGATTGCCTGAGCTGGCAGGTTCGAGACCCGCCTGGGCAACTTGGCGAGACCTCATCTCTACAATAAATCAAAAATTAGCCAGG